TCCAAGTAAACACACATTTGTTGGAGAAACTTCTACTCTTCCATACAGGTTTTGTTTAAAAACCTTCAAGTGTGACCTTCAGAGTCTCTGCTTCTTCTCAGCCTACAGACCAAACACCCCATTTTTAAGTATAACAAGGTGATTTTTCCTTCCTTTCAAAGTATTATTTTTTGCTGGATGTGTGCTGAAGATGGAGAAAAGAAATACTAGACATTAATGCTCAGAGTAAAGCTATCTAAATATTTAACACTCAGTTTAGCTGATTCTGAAAATATTTCCTTTTCATATCTACATGTCACCAACAGTTAAAAATATACTTAAAATCAATGGCTGTATTCTCCAATTTCTTTACAGTATATCACAACTCAATCAAGTTCTGCATTACACTGTCAAACAATGAAATGTGCAGTACAGTATAAACAAGATAGCATTTGCAGAGTGTTTTGACTGACCTGGTGACTGTTAGATATAGGTGCTACTTCCAAACTTAGAAGTTTTCTAAATATTTTCAATTTTGTTTTAAGTTACATTTATTAGTGCCAGTTAATTTTGGCTCAACAGCAGTTGTACATCTTCTTCTGTAAGGGCAATGACTAAAGAGAACATAGCAGCAGATGGAATAGGAAGACATTTTCATTCTTACTCATCCTTTTATTTTGACCATAAGGGCTTAAAGGAAAAAAGCCAAATCCAGTGATATGCTGCACTACACAGTCCGAATCACAAGAGTAAGAAAAATGTTTTGGTGATCCCCTTCTCCCCATATTTACCCAAACCTTAGTAGCAATAAAAGGCAATAAATGGGAATTAATGAGTATGTGGTACTGCAACACCTCAAAACAGCCATTCTACAGCCTTCCTCACGCAATCAGCTTTGCAAAGCTATTTTCAGCTTTGTTGATTTGGTGATAAAACTTCCAGTCAGTTTAAGGAAATATTCCAGCCAGTGCAGGTATTAGCCTAGTGAAGAAGTTCATTCAACTTCTACTTGCAAGTCTAACTTATTAAAATTGTTTTTATGAACTCTTCAGTGGTGCAGCAATCTTGCTCTGTCAGTGCGCTCTCCATCCTCTCCAAGGTGGCTTTACCAATTCTGAATTTTTAAAAGCTGACTACAAACAATTTTAGCCTAACCAAACACATCTGATTTCTATAGATGACTAATCTGTGGAACCAAGTATGCAACAGAAAATGGCTTTGTCTGTTCCTGTTCACTAATAACTCTCAGACAGCACCCAGGCCTGAGAAATGCAACACTATGGAAAGGAGGCACTAAATTATATTCAGTTATTTAAAATGCCAGAAGTCCTCCAGGTATATCAAATGCATTTATTACCCTGGTAATGATTTCCAACACCAAAAAGGTTAATAAATGAACCAGAAGTTCAAGCCATGTGAGAAAGGTTGTCATTAAAACCAGGTGATAAGGCATACAGGCACACTGCAGCAAATCAAATTTCTATAGCTCCTTATGAACAATTCAATAGAAAAAAATTCAGACATTCTCATTCAGCCTGATACTTCATACAGTTAGTCTGCTCCTATTGAGCACCCTTTACCCAAATATAGCCAAATATACCCAAATATAAAGTTCAAACATAGCCAATATTTAATGGTAGATGCTCATAATTATATTTATATGATACTTCTTTAAAGGTCATTATTATAAATACAACTAATTTTCAGAATTAGCCAGCCACATTTTGCATTGTGGCACCCTTGGGTTTGAGGGACGTGTTCATATGCAACTAAACAGTTATAGGAATATGCAATAAGCCTGCAGTTACTAAGAAAAATATGTAGGACAGCATCCTCTGCTTTCTATTGCAGAAGAAAACACAAGAATGTATTCACTTTCCAATCAGCATAGGTCAGAATGATATCTTGCACAAATGAGAGTCAAAACTGCTCCTTTCCTGTACACCTCTCTATCTCTTTGTGCAGATAATCAAAAAATAGCCTTGATAGCTGCTTCCAATGTTCTATATATTGGTAGTATCTATTCAGTAGACAATGTAAGACACTAATTAGCATGTCTCTGAATTACAACAGGCTGTAGGTGAGCTGAGGTAATAGGTTTGAGCAGACACAAGAATAAACTTCCTTGGATTTCAAAGACGATGCTGTCCTAATGCAGGAGTAAGATCATAGAACGGTTTGGGTTGGAAGGGACCTTAATGACCATCTCATTCCAACCCCCCTGTCAGAGGCAGGGACACCTTCCACTAGACCAGGTTGCTCAAAGCCCCATCCAACCTGGCCTTGAACACTTCCAGGGATGGGGCAGCCACAGCTTCTCTGGGCAACCTGTGCCAGGGCCTCACCACTCTCAAAGCGAGGAATTTCTTCCCTCTTCCAGTTTAAAGCCATTGTCCTTTATCCTATCACTCCCTGCCCTTGTCAAAAGTCCCTCCCCAGCTTTCTTGTCGGCACCTTTAGGTACGGGAAGGCTGCTCTAAGGCATCCCCAGAGCCTTCTCTTCTCCAGGCCGAACAACCCCAACTCTCTCAACCTGTCCTCACAGCAGAGGTGCTCCAGCCCTCAGATCATCTTTGTGACCTCCTCTGGACTTGCTCCAACAGGTCCATGTCCTTCTTGTGCTGAGGACCCCAGAGCTGAAGGCAGTACTGCAGGGGGGGGTCTCATCAGAGTGAAGCAGAGGGGCAGAATCCCCTCCCTCAACCTGCTGGCCACCCTGCCTGGGATGCAGCCCAGGGTACGGTTGGCTTTCTGGGCTGCCAGCGCACATTGCCAGGTCATGCTGAGCTTCTTGTCAACCAACACCCCCAAGTCCTTCTCCTCAGGGCTGCTCTTGATCCGTTCTCCACTCAACCTGTATTTGTGCTTGGGGTTGCCCCGACCCACGTGCAGGACCTTTTGACATATTTCATTAAACGTCTAACAACATGAGGGGAAGAAAAAGAAGAGTGAAGTCTGCCAGAACTGCTGCTATCAGTGACAACCTCAACAGCCAGAGGAGAGCGAGCTGCTAGAAGGGTTAGGGAGATGGAGAGCGTATCACAGGCAAGGAGACTTGAAGGTTTGGCTTGTTCAGCTTAGAAAAAGAAAGGCTGAAAAGGAATACGATTGTCACCTACAAATACATCAGCATGGGAGGAGGGGGAAAAATTGTTATAAAAACTGATCATGCACAAGTTTAGGCTAAAAAGCCAAAAAAAACACCAAGGAAATTTGCACTAAAGTCCTGGAATAGCTCCAATAGAAAAAATTCAAGGAAAACAAACCCAAACTGGTCTTATGGCAGAGCTTGACAATTCTGTGAAGGATGACAGGCTCCTCGCCCAGGCATAGGACTGCAGAAATCTTCAAGTCCTGTATCACTTTATTAGAGAACATTATATGACTATACTGCTGTCAGAGTTGAGTGTGCAACAGCAATTCCATTATAAATCAGACATTTGAAAGGCTCAGTTCCAAACAAATTCCATCCAAGATGAAACTCCACATCTTAAGCCAATACTCTATTTGATTTAGATACTTATAAATTCAACAAGATTAAATTAGTCACTTGGGTGATTTCAGGGTTTCCATTCCTATGTAACTAAAAACCAAATAAACTTCAGGGAAAAAAACAAAGCCTTATACAGACACAATAGATTTGTGCTATTCCATCATGCAGTTAAAATCTTCCAAACCAAGGACATTCAGATTGAGAAATATAATTGCAACAGACTCAGCACTATACAGAAAAAGGCAAGAGCAGTATTCATGTGCTCGAAGCCTGTATCTTTGAACCAACAGCATCAGACTTTGAAACAAAAGATCTGTCAGATTCATTTTTCAAGGGCTTAATTCCCCCTTCCTTTGGAAATAGGCAGGGGAAAAAAATAATCCTGAAGTTTTCTAGGAGCAACCTTCACCGCTTAATTATTATGCAGAAATACATAAAGTGACTTGTTCTATTCCAAGGGGAAAGCACAGATAGGGATATGACACAAAAGCATTGAACAAACTGGCAAAATATTTAACATGCTGAGTTTTATTGATCTTTCTTCAACTCCCTAGTGTTCACACTTGTTTTGGAGGCCACATAAGAATACTACTGCTCTTATCTGGGAAGTATTTCCTGCCTCAGATCAATAGCAATGCTTTTTTTTTTTTCTCTCCTTACTTTCAACTGCAGTTTGGAAGTGGTAAGTGAAACTTAATTTGTTGGAGAAATTAAAATACAGGGCAGGCTGACTGCACTGAAGACAACCTGTGAAGCTATACAACTTGTCTATCCTATTTAGCCGTCTCTGAAATATTTTCTGAATTCAAATGGAACGTCAGTAGGTCTGTCTCCTGCATAGACCGATCAGCTATAAACACTTTTTTTTTTTTCACCTCTTTCTGAATACATAACAATATAGGTGTAGATATCATAATGTATACCTACAGTAGGCTGAAATTATATGCAGACATATTCTACACATACTCTAACATTTTCTGTAAGCCATGATCTGGCAAACACGTACATGAATACTACATCCACGGATAGCTCTGTTTCAATTGCACTTATGGGAAAAATAGTAAAACCAGACCTTTTGACACACAAACACAAGTTAGAGAGGAGAGAGGAACTAAAGGCTTGTTTGTGCAGCAAGGAAAGGATTCAAATTAATCCTTTGATGCCAGTTCAAGTGAATGATGTAACAGAAGTGAAAGCAGTAGCAATGATACATGATGATGTAATTTGGACTTTCATGAAGGACATGAAGTGAACAGGATCAAGGATTTATATCTATCAGACCTTATTTAAGGCATTATTAGCCTGGTTCAAACTCTGAATTTTCAACCAGGCAATGCAAACTGCTTATCATTTAAGCCACAGAAGTAACTGTATTATCTGGGAATAGCTGAAGTCCTTTATCCTAGAGAAGGGATGAACCACTAAGCTGGGGCAGTTTCCACAAGAATGATCCCAGCCCGTAGTGGCTTGTCCATCTCTCTCCAACACCCTCTGCACTGGCAACAGCATTTGCTCCATGTGAAGACCAAAGAGTGAGAAATGGACCCTCAAGTCATGAGCTCAAGAAGCACTTAGAAAACACCTGCTCTAGGTCTCTATTCCACAGCACCCACAAAGCCCCTTCACTGTGGCTGGGGGCCAGGGAAGTTCTGGTCCCTTGTGATCTCTGCCAAAAATGAAAGGGAACTGATCCACACAAGGCTCCCAGCTTTGCATGCAATGTTGCTGTCGTGACCACATAAACAACGGCCCAACTTTGGCTTGTTCACATGCAATCCTTACTGTGAGAATGCTCTTGAACAAGAATGTAAATAACCACATTAAAATATATTTGATCAAACCCAAAACATAAGTTTAAGGCACAGCCAAAAAACACTTCAATGGTCTGAATGCTTTAGCTTTCCCAATACAGACAACTTACTGCAGAAGTCAGCTGCTACAGAAGTGAAAAATGTTCAAACTACTTATATAGAATAAACAGGACAAGCTACAGTTTTAACTCTCAGTGTTATCTAAACAATTCTTCTGTCAGAAAATACCTTGAAATTTAGCATAGTAACATTTTCATATTTTACAGCAGGTATGCTGGGGGGGGGGGGGGGGGGGGCAAAATATTCT